ATGAAGATTCTCAGTCATCCAGGTCATAGTTATACTGGAAGACGTTTCGTCCCTCATCCAAAGGACTTCTTCAGTTCTGACTGACTGGCAGGTAAACTCAGCTATTTAACCTCAGTGGGGTCGTTTGCCAGGATCGTTGATACTGCTGGTTCGTTAGTGTTCCTGGTTGCTGTAACGGCCGTCGTCACCTGAGGCCAATAGGTTACGTTTCTTGAGTTTCCTGGGTAAGGTAAGGTAAGGTAAGGTAAGTTTATTTGTATAGCACAATTTAACAACAAGGTAATTCAAAGTGCTTTACATAAAACATAAAAGCAACAGGGAAATATGTAAAAGTTTAAAAGCAACATAAAATATAATAAAAGTTACAGTGTTACAATCAGGGTTAAAAGAGTTAAATGGAAAATAATAAAAAGCTAAAAACAAAGAAAAAGAAAACAGGAGAGTAAAAGTTACAGTGCAGTGTAAGTTATCAGTAAAAAGAAAATCTTAAATATTTAATTAAAAGCAATGGTAAAAAGAAAAGTCTTCAGTCTTAATTTAAAAGAACTGACTGCTTCAGCAGACCTGCAGTTATCTGGGAGTTTGTTCCAGATATACGGAGCATAATAACTGAACGCTGCCTCTCCTTGTTTAGTTTTGACTCTGGGGACAGAAAGCAGACCTGCCCCAGACGACCTGAGAGGTCTGGATGGTTCGTAATGAAGCAGAATATCAGAAATGTATTTTGGCCCTAAACCATTTAGTGCTTTATAAACTAACAGCAGGATTTTGAAATCAATTCTTTGACATACAGGAAGCCAATGTAAAGACCTCAGAACTGGAGTGAGGGAAGTGATGAACCCAAATCCTTACTTGCCTTTTTGTCTTCTTAGCTGAACTTTTTGAGCCTTTCACCTTATCAAAAAAGCAGAAGTTGTCTAATCAACCCAATCTCATCTCAGGGGTCACATATACACACTTTGTAAAAAACCGTGGCTATTGTACTCAAAACGGCAATTTAGTGTGTGTATGATGTTTTGTCAGAAATTGTGTCCTCTTACATTTAATCTTATATGTATGATCTTTCAATATTATCATTATTATTACTATTCTCTTTATGTCTTATAGATGCGTGAATAGTCTTGGACTCTTACGTTCACTCGTTACACAGCAGCTGCATGGTCTCCGTCAGCACAGGAAACAGAATTGATTAGTTCACGACTCTCAACTGTGGGTCTTTGGGTTTGAGTCGTTCATTTGTCACGTGACAGCTGGCTACAGGGCTGTGGTAAGCAGGCAGCACAGGAAATAGAATTGATTAGTTCAGGACTCATAACTGTGGGTCTCTGGATTTGAGTCATTTATTTTTCATGTGCATCTCGCCAGAAATTGGTACAGTGAAATTCAACTGTGTTAATGATAGAGATGGCCCTCACAAGTGACCCAAAAATCAGTGGTCACTGACAAAAACAAGAATGTGTGTGCTGGTGTGTTTGTTTTTGTATGAGGAGAAATTTATTATTTTGTTGTTTATTTGTGCAAACAATGCCAGTACTGTACATACTGTACAACCGATCACTGTTATTCCATCAAATAAATACATCATGACATAATGTTAAACAACATTAATTACATTGCATCTCCTCAGAAGAAAATGTCATGTTAATATTAAAATGATCTAAAACATTCCTTCAGTAATCTAGACAATCTGTGATAGCATGTATGATACATACAAATTGTGCATTTTACACGTTAAAACAACATGTAAATATTAGATGTCATATTAGTGTACTGGCATTTTTCAATACAACTAAACCACTGTTATAAGTTCATACTGTGTACATGCGTTAGGCACTTTGAGAGCCCCGGGCAAAAGGGATCTGGAGGGCCCTATATTGGAACAAACTGATCCCCCCAACCCTTCAAGAATCACATCATGGACACATCAATCCATTATTAAAAGGTTTTTTTGTTTACCAGGTTAGTTTTAGAAAGGGCATACACTGTATATACAAACTGTACATTATAGTAAATTTAAAATGCAAACCCCCACTACCATCCCATGCTAAACTTTCAAAATAACCCTTTTTTATAAAAAAAATAATATATATATTATATATATATAATATATATATATATATATATATATATAAAAACAGGGAATACACATTCATAATAATGACATGCAATAAGAACAAAAATGTGCCAACAGGGTCAACAGACCTGCCACCCTACTTTCATCTCTGGAGACATCTTTTAAAGGTGGGTTCACTGAGCTTAGACATCTAAGCACCTTGAGAAGGAAAGAAAAAAGGGTTGTATGTGGTAACCTAGCTTTTCATATTTTCTTAGTAAGATATTTTACCTAAATTACCTAAATGGCAACACATAACTTACTTACTTATTCACAGGTTTTCAAACATTAGGTATTTTGCACCTTTTAAGGCAAAAGAAGCCTGCTTCATTATCCTTCCAAAATATTTAGTCCTACATTACATAAAGCACTTGTGTTTGTTGTATCAAGGGTTAGGAGTAATAGAAATAATAAATTAATGTTCAATCAATATGCCACAGGAATAGGAGCAGAAGCGTGTCTAAGGGGCACATGCCGCCTGTGAAATCTGATAGTGCCACTCTATTTTCCTAAACTATGACTGGCTATTTGCGCCATTACAGTCAACGATGTAACCTTAGTTACAATCTCATGTTGCGAATTCTTGCACTACTTGTTAGTATTGTATTATAGTATTATTGTATTTTTTGTATACTTGTACATTTTTTGATCTCCTCACTTTTTAAATTTTTTATATACTTATATTTCTATTTATGTTCATGTGTACTGTAAGCATCAATTTATACCAAGGCAAATTCCTCGTATGTGAAAATGTCCCTGTCAATAAACCTGATTCTGATTAGTTCGATCCATGTATCTCAAGTGTCTTACGACCCCTCTCATATATAATTTAAATAGAGAGAAGGTGATTTAACATCATAGGCAACCAACCACAAGTTGTCAATCACATTAGGTATTTAAAGTAGTCAGTGATTAAGCCCCTTGCTCTATGGTAGGGGTCGGCAAATAAGTCTGACATTATTTTAGTCAAATTATTTCAAACCGTTGGATTCTCATGTCCACATTTGAGTGGGGGAGTGTGGGTCTCCTGATGGAGGTGTTGTAAAGTCGATCCCACAATCCGGCGGGCTTTTTTTCTCCCTTGTTAAACAATTGATTAGCCTATAAGGACACTTTTTCACATGCTTGCAATAAAGCATGTGCTGCAGTGCGTGTGCGTCCCGGCGTTTGATCCGCATTCAAAAACCTATGGACAAAACCATAGTCCACCCCAAAGGGAGTTCTAATCTCCTACAGAAAGCTCTGCTCTGAACTACCTGAAAACAGCTCGTTTGTAGTCCAGCCTTTACTTCCCTTTCTTGTGATGTCACAAGTAAATTCATGTCATAATGCTCGCCGAGCTACTAGTCCGACACGCCCTCAAAAACACCGGTGGAAAAACACTGAGCTGCAGCACACCTCTCCTCTCCAAACACTAGCCACCCTCCAAGCAGTCAGTGGACATAAAGTTGTTACTGTGATGTAGAGACAGAGCTCAGTTAAAACTTTGTGGATGAAATATACTTTTGTTACAGATTAATAACTCACCACTCAGAAACTCTTGCTCCAGTCCATATTGCCAAGCTGGCAACATGTAGCTTACAGCTGAATCGAAGCTGTTCACCGTCTTTTCGCTGATCCGCCTTTTCCTGCTTCTAATTGGCTAGTAGCCCTTAACTAGGAACTGCACATGTGTAACTCCCAACAAAGATCATTTAGAGACAAGATGTATCACTCCATAGCTAAAATGAAGCCTTCAACACGGTGAAAAGAGGAGCTGCAGCAATGTGCAGTATGACAAAAAATATGTTTTTTTTTGAAAATTAAACCATGTAAACCTGTTCTGGTAAATCCCCTAAATAGAATTTTGAACCTGAAAATGAGCATAATGCCATCTCTTTAAGGTGCACTGTACGCTGTTAGTTCTTCTGTGCAGTGCATTTCACTGTTGCATATTGTCTTGAAGATGCATGCTTCCTCTTCTGTAATCCGCTGCTGACATTATGTTACTCTGATTGTGATGTGAAATCCTGCCGTGGCCATCTTGCATTGAGGCTGTAATGCATGAAATTATAATGATTATAATTAAAGTAGATCTGAGCAGTGGAGACAGAAATGTTAATGGAATGCTATTTTATTGCATGTGTGTGTGTGTGTGTGTGTGTGTGTACGCATGCAATAATCTTTATTTATGGAGCTTTTCAAAATCCATGTTACAAAGTGCTTTCACAGGGGCAAAAAATAAACACATAAAGATAAAACAAGAAACAGATAAAAATTAAAGCTGCAAGCAGTGTTTGACGGGCCCTTGCGCTGTGACCCCCGTCAGGGTGTGGTAAGGCCCAGTGGACAGAGGTTGGGAGATGTTTTTTTATCATCAGTGCCTCTAGATTGCACAGCAAAAATCTGTAGTGGATTGGATTTGTTCTGTAGGAGGAGTTCATCAAAGTGTGGAATGTGTAAATTGCCTAAAATAACTATTAATTTAAAAATGTCGGCTAATTCAAACATGAAAAACCAATCAAAAAGCATCAAATAAGATCAAACTTTACTAAACGACTTTGGCTGGAAATGGCAAGACATTGTGCAAATGAAAAACATGCAAAGCAACAAAATGAATATTATTCAACATATAGCATTTTATATTCAGATGTAACCCCTAACGTACTCAAACATTTTCAAATATAACTGTAATTTAATTATTTTTCCAGAAACTGTAACAGATTAGTTAATTTATTTTGTAATTTGTAATGTAACTAAATTACACATAACTAGTTACTCCCCAACACTGACTACATCATATCCTGCCAAAGAAACTGCTCTGCACTGCAACAAAATCTCCCTTCCTGAGATTTTGAAGACACTCATAATCCCAAATAGACGTTGACCACTATAAACCAGAACAAAGTTTGTCTTGATTGTTTATTTCAGCAGCACAAAGCTTTTAAACAAAATTAAACTTTGATTTCATCACGTAAATACATAATGTAACTTAAATGTAGAGTAGCCTCCTAAAATATATAGTATATAGTATACATGCATAATGGATAGCAAACAAAAACAAGGATGCAAATGAATAAATTAACATTAGGCGCTGACTACATTGCATTTCCAAAGAAGATAATTTCAAGAGAATCTTAAAGAAACTACAATTTTTCTTCTTTCTATATAAATATATATGTGTATATATGTATGTATCTATATATATAAAAAAAAAATTCTCTATTTATTTAGAATGTATCTGATGGACTCATTGAACATGATGCATATTATGTATCAAAGTAATTACTAATGCAACCATATTGGTGTCATAGGCTAATACAGAATATATGTTAGATGTGTGGTATTGTGTAGATCATGCCGGATGCTTAAGGCTGCCACTGCCTGCAAAGCAAGAGTCACGTGACAGATTGAGAGATCCTAAGATATCAATAGACTTTTCTTTGTTAGCCTAGCTTGCTTGTCTACTTGTACTGTTCAGAGGTAATACGCGAAGAAGCACATGAAAAATCAACCTGCTGTATTCCTTTGTCACAGCTCTATCATAGGCAGACGTCACAGCAGCTTCCATTCAAATTTAGCACAGCGATTAACTGGATTTCCACAAAAACCACTACAGAAAATCTTAATTAACGCTTGTTTCTATCCACTACGGTTGTGTGAATTTTAGGAGTTGGGCGCACAAAGATAAACTGCTGGTGGTACAAATACTCCAGGTGGGTGCCATTATAACATTGCAGAGGAAGAAGATGCAACAAGATCTAAAATACAAAAATAAAGTGGAAAATAATAATCAGGGTGCGATTTGTAAAAAAATTGCACCTTTAGTAATTTCTGCCTTCCCTTCAACACACAGCTCCGCTGCTCACCGGAACAAATCAGCTATTATTCGTGACGTGTAACCAATCAGATAGCGCTGTGGGTGGAACATAGAGCAAGACTACAGAGTGGTGATTACCTACAGACAGAGAAGCAGCTACATCAGAACCAAAGTAACGCATTTTAATATAAATATAACCCTAACGAAATCACGGATCGATGCGAACTGTGTGTTTTGTGAAGTGAAGTGAAGTAGCATTGATCACTCTGAGGGGGGATAAATTTTGTCCCCACCAGGGAAAAGAATAATTCAACTAAGGGAAGGAATATATAAACCAGAAAGGGGGAAAACCCATGCATTCTCCAGCAAGCCAGACAGTTATCACAAACAAATATCCCAATGGGTCTATGTTGCTTCGTAACAAGTCAGTGCGAACCCTCAATAGCCATATGCAAAGAAACAATGGGTCATTTTTTTTTAACACAGATGTTTTAACATCCATGTTATATAGAACAATGAATTCACTATGTTTAACTTTAGCTCTACTCGTCTGCTGCATAGATCCATGTTATAAAGATACAAGCTAAAAACAGACTGGCTACTGTGACATAGAAAATGAAGAAAACTTTGTTGATTCTGTTAGCCACTCCGGTCCAGTACCCGGGCTTTCCTTCTTCCTTCCTGCTGTTGAGGAGCACAGTCAGTGTCTTCTCTACCTCCGTCAGGTCATCTGAGACCTTCTTCAAGGAATTGGACTCCGTCAGTTTGCTGCTGTTATCCTGCAGATTTGGTTTAGAAAACAGGTAATTAATGACATTACGGAATACAAGTTTGCAATTTGCTGTATTTGACATTCAGGTTTTTGTGTCCGTTATGATGAGAATAAAAGGGTTGGATTATCCAATTACAAATAAACATTTTCTCACGTATGCCGAGAGGTGTCTTGTCATGAAAATAGTTTTTGGGGTGATTTAAGGTTTAAGTGAATGGGAAAAAAATTCAAAAGCAACATCTCTTTCCAGAAACAGAATCCCTGACTAAAATCCAAAGACAATTCTCTCAACAGTTTTTAGACTTTCCTATCTTGTTTTTTGTTTTCATTTGGGTGAACCGACCATTTAAAGTGCAACCCTTTGTGTGCTAACCTCTTTGGCCACCAACGGCAGTCCAGATGGAGTTTCTCCAGTAAATACATCACTGACAGACACACGGTGAGTCCATCTCTTCTTGTCTGAAAGGATATTTTTCACACAAAGATGGTTGAAGCATATTCAAAATGCAGTGTTGGGCAGTAACGGGTTGCTCACAAATTTAAGTTATTTGAATAACGAGTAATAATGATTATTACTTGTTACTGTAATAAGATTACTGAATACTGCTCTCGTAAATACATGTGCAGAAAAATCAGGATTTACTTGCTTCATTTTTTATTTCAGCCAGTGGCATTAAGAAAGTTTTGTTTTGTAAAAACATACTCTTTGCTGCTGTTATGAATGTGATATTAGTTAAAAAGTCGGGAAAGACGTGGGGGGGGTGAAAGTGATATACGTAACGAATAACGTAACTAGTTACTTTTATGACCCAGTAATAAGTAACTAGTAATTTGTTATGTTTTCTTAGTAACTTGCCCAACACTGTCAAAATGACATCATTAACTAGTGTATTTTATACAATGTAAATGTGTCAGTGAGTATTCATATCATAGCATGCCAATTTAATCATAGTAATAGTAAACTGAACAATAGGAGGAGATTGAGTTGAGATCTAGAGGTTTGTAGAAATCTATGCTTAATCTCACCTCTAAAACAGTTATGGTAACGAAGGTTACGATATGGTAACCCTAGTTAAGCACAGGCGGAGCCCTCTACTGGACTCTATGGGTACTACCTCCTCCAATCACACGCACGCACTTGCCCACTGAAATTTTATTGTGCATGTAGCTGGCCAATAGGACGTTGCTACCGATACGTGATGTATAAATAGCAGTGTCCCTACTGCCTCAGCATCCCGACCGCCTCTTCAGCAGACAGCGTCAGAGCGACAGGGCTCATCAGTAGAGGGATCCGCCTGTACTTATAGAACTAGGGTTACCACATCGTAACCTTCGTTCTATCTCACACAGGCTCCCTCTACTGGACTCTATGGGTACAGTGGTTGGAGCACAATGACTGTCTGCCCTAGCCGCGACAAGCCAAAGTCCACCACACCAACCCGGTCGGCCACAGGCCGGCCAAAGCCACAACAACCACATCACCTAGTGACAGAGTGGTGGGACACCCCTGAGAAGGTCGCTGGACCAATAGGGGCTTGGCCTGACCTGCACTGCATCTGACTTCTCACCGGAACGTCGGGCACTGCCAGTGTATGTTCCCCCTCTACACCCAGTAATCACTAGATCCTCACCTTTCAGATCCTAGGTCGCACTTGCGAGCTGGATCCCGAGAAGGAGCCCGACATATCCAAGAGATCGAAACGCTCAAACGATGCCATTGTGCAGATCTCTTCGACACACACCCCGCTGAAAAAGGTTCCATGCCTTAGCGGTGCGTGCACATTCCACTCGGAATGTGCACGCACCGCTAAGGGTGGGTCTGTTCCCGCCCGTGTCCAGGCTTGGGAGATTCACTCACAAAGCCAGCTGGCCAGGCTCTTCTTGGACAGGGCTTTACTGCCTGCACTATCACTGAAACAGACGAACAGCTGACCAGTGCATCGAATGGGGGCTATGTGCTCAACATAGGACGTTAGCCTAGCACACATGTACACAACAGATGCACTCTCACCTCCTTGCACCCTAAGTGGGGTAGGGGGGTAGAAAGCATCCAGATTTATTGTCCTGGACCTGAACATGCTCCTTATGTTCTTAAGAACAAAGGAGGTGTGTTGTCTCAATCTGGCTGCACTGTGGACACCAAGAACCAGCATGCAGCTGGGGGGGAACCGACAGGCACAAAGCTTACTCACCTTCTTAGAGAGCAAGGCTCATTTTCAATGAGGACTGCTCCAGGGGCTCATAAGGTGCAGATATTAGAGCCACCAACACAAGCAGCAAGTCCTACTGAGGTGCTGAGAAACCGTTTCGCTGTCTTCTCACATCCTTCAGAAAGCGCATCACGAGGGAGTGGGTGAAGACTGTTCTGTCACCAAACCCCTGTGACAGGAGACATAGCTACAGCGCGACAGCCCGTTCTCCATCAGACCTTGCAGGAAAGAGAAAACGGATCCCACCGAACAGGTAGGCAATTCGCTGTTCGCTTAAGCAAAAAGGATGCTGAGGCAGTAGGGACACATTTATACATCACGCACGTATTGGTAGCGACATCTTATTGGTCGGCTACGTGCACGATAAAATTTCAGTGGGCAAGTGCGTGTGAGTATATGGAGTAAATGAGCAAATGAGATTGGAGGAGGTAGTACCCATAGAGTCCAGTAGAGGGCGGAGCCTGTGTGAGATAGACACAGTCCTCACTTAGGCTTCGGTGTCTGTCTTCCTTGTTATCTCGGGAGTCTTTCCTTATGAGATGCATCACCAAAATCGTCTCCAGGAGGCTGAGCATCATCAAACCAAAACTTCCAATACAGTAAGTTGCTAAAGGGAGAAGGCAGCATCATTAATTTGGACAAATAACTACACATTCAGTCAGTATCTGCTACTCTTGCTCAAATGAATTTTTACCTATAAGTGGAATCTTGTTTGATGAAGCAGGCAGAATGTCATTCAGAATAAGTTGTAACACAGTGACAGCAAGCAGCACAGTGACTTTGAAGCTGAGCTTCTCGCCCCCTCTGTCTGAGATCAGGAAGGAGGACAAGTCCAGACACAAGAAGAACAGGACAGGAAGCATGAAGTTGACAACATAGAGGAGAGACCGCCTCTTCATGGTGATCTGTAAAATAATTTTTAAGGGTTAGGTGGCTGAACTTCCTACTTTAACCATATAGTACATAGGTTGCAAGCACAAGGTAATCGGCTCATGTCTGCAGTGATTGAGGAAGCCTTCAAATTGTTTACCAACAGTGGCTATAATAGATTTATTACATAACAATGTATCAAATGCTGATGTAAAGACATATGGGAAAGGGTCACTTTAAGTGAGAATCATCACCTGCAACTCCCCTTGGCTTTACAGAGATTTATTGTTTAGCTGTCCGGCCCACAACTTTACTGTTCGCTTGTGACAACTCCAGGGCCTGGAGGTCATTGAGGAACTAAAGGCTGCTGGCTAGTGACCACTGTAGGTAGCTGGTAGCCTGCATTGCAAAAACTGAGCTCTCAAAAACAAGAAAAGAAAGCAATAAAATGGGGGAATTATTACTTAAAATAAGCTACATTATCTGCCAACAGAACAAGAACATTTCAGTTGCTACTTAAGGACAAAACATTAAAGCCGTCTGATAAGAAGAAATTTCTTGTCAGACAAAAAATAAGTATATTTTGCCTTCAATTAAGATAATTAATCTTACTTAGATTTTAGTTTTTGCAGTGTGCAAGCTCCCTACCACTTTGTGTTACATAGGAGTTTTTAGATTTTCGGTATAGTTCATTTAGTATCAGCTTAGCCTGGCAGGATGTTTCTGTTACACAAAATGAGTCTCTGTTAAATAAAATCCCTTTCTTTTGGTTAATCCCTTGCAACTGTGTCCCTTATTTGCAATAGTGTCAGAGCCAGGCCACAACACCCCTACGGTGTCACTCTCACCAGTTTCATAGTATTAATTTTGGGCAGTACAAGGCGGCAACTGTTGTCAAACTGTGGTCCACTTTTTTGTACATTCCACAACTTGTACTTCTTTACTCATTGCACTTCATATACTTGATGCTATTACTTGTTATTTATAGTGAGTAAGAAAATGTTTGCCAACAAGTTTGCTATATGAACTTAGACGGTGATGAAGTACCAAAAAAATAATATTAGCAGTAAAATAGTAGAAGTACATGTACTTATTTGAGACAAACAGAGGTGGAAAGTAGTTTCCACCCTTGTGTCTGTATCCAGAAGTACTCACCGTGTAAATAATTGTGCTCTGGTTGACGCCTAATGTGCTGACAGTATTTTCAGTGTGTATCATGTTGATAAAGAGCCACTCATACTGGGTCGGCGACCCGTGAGACCACACTTCGTCCTTCGAGCTGGCATTCCATTTAAGCTGGATATCCTTGTCTGAGGGGGGAGAAAAAAATTAAACTATGTGGTTTCTTATCAGGTCATCAAAGAAGGAATTAATGTGGTGGAATTCTGTATGTGCTCATGTGACAATAAACTGTTAAAGTCATTACCCCACACAAACACAAAACATACACATTTTAGATGAATATCTAGAAAATTATCCAAACGTGTAGCCACACCAGGCTAGTGGGTGCAGCTTACCTTCTCTGGCACCTGGCTCATCTACACACAGGACTTCAATCAATCAACTCATCAACTCCCTGCTTCAATATTCCAGCTCTCCTACCACTTTGTAGTACAGTAACTCACATTTCTCCACTGAATCATCTGTGTGTTTTAGTAATTATTTTCCCTTGTGCTTTTGCTTAAATGTTTTTATCTTGTGCGTCAGGATTCCAGTGCTATCCTCCTCCTGCCTTTGTCGGCTCAGCAAAACCCTTCATCCATTAATTATTTGTTTATTTAAACCTTTTACTTAAACCACTCTCTCCATGTCTGTTTCTGTTCCTGGGTCTGTTCACAAACCAAACTTTAAATACAACAGGTTATGGGCTCACCAGAGTGTAGGGCAGACTTGAAAGATATGTTGCAGCTCTGAATGTCAAAGGGGAATTTGTAAACTTGCATCTTGCAGGTGTTGACCAGCACCATATCATTCACACGTTCAACCCAACCGTCAGCAGAAATGTAGACATAAGGACTCGGAGGGGCCTTATCCTTCTCTACCCTGTATGAGAAAACACACACACAGACACACACACACACACACACACACACACACACACTTAACAAAAGCTTTGTGCTTTAAATCACATTTCATGTAGCGTACTTTCACTGATAATATAAAACATAAATCTATATAAGCTACAGTAAAACCTAACTAACTATTTGTTTTAAAGTTTTATTTCTATAAATACACTATCCACACAGTGTGACAATATCACATATCTGCAGCATTTGCTCTGTCTTTTTATTATATTCCACCTACTAGAGTTATTGTTTTGCATCAAAATACCAAAGCAAATTCCTTCCCAGATAGCATGTGTGGGCCACTTCAGGCAATGATGCTGCACCCCTGGCCTTCTTGTGGCCCTGACAGAATGGATGTGAGCCTGAAGTGGCCTTTTGTTTAGCAAAGATGCCGTGCACTCAGTGTGTAATCTGGATATGATCCAAAGTGGCCCATGTGATAAATGGTGAATGTGGTCAAAATATCACAGAACAAATGTAGACTACCTGTGGCAAAGATGTGGCACAGTTAACAAAGGGTAATCGGCGTGTAAACCAAAAGTGGCACAATTCATGTTGGCTAATCTAGATGTGAGCCTAAGGTGGCCCACATGTGATGTAGCAAATGTGACCAAATATTTAACAACAGATTTTGGCAAATTTACGCCAAAGCCAGCACTGGACAATCAAAGTGTAAGCCTAGCGTGGCCCACATTTAAAATGTTAAATATTGCCCAAATATGGTTGAATGGTATTGGGCCACTTTCAGTAAAGATGCGGCACAATTCACACTGGCTAATCCAGATGTGAGCCTAAAGTGGGCCAGAATAAACTAAAAATTAAACTGTTGGTCAGAATAGGGCCAGTTTGGTTTTATTTGGTTTGTGCTTGGCTCGGCCATGCTGGGGCCAGCTTGTGGCCCAGATCTGGCAAACAACCAGGTATGAATATTCAGTAGTTCCCCCACAAATATGGTGTCCTCTTGTTCCCAAATCTGTGTTTTATTGATTCTCAATGTACACAGTATTTACACTAACTTGTTGGGCTATGTTGTGAACCAACAGTGTGGATTTGTGCATTTTATATCAAATAATTTGGAGACTCCCTTCCCTCTCTCTCTTTGAGGAAAAAGGAGGTGGGTAGGAAAGTTTTCCTCCCCTGGAGATTGGCCTTTTGACATGCAAAAAACAAGAGATTGGCCTGGGGTTTGGTAAAGGGTCTGCAGAGACTCAATCAGACATGCATCGCTTAAGGATTCCGTAAAGGTGTCAATAGACACTTAGCAGGACAGCAAAAGAATTGTCCAATCCGTCTCCTTCTAGTAAATCAAAGTACCGGACGTTCTGATACCTTTTCCCATAGAATGGCTGGGCCATAAAACACCGCTCCCTTCTCTTCTTTGAGCTGACGTGCAAATGTGATAAGCGAGGAATGCGAAAGGGAGACACTTAACAACTCCTGCCTTCTTGAGTTAAAACAATGTTTCATAATAAACTGTTGTTCTATTTAACCAATAATCCTTTCTAAGTTAGTAGTGGCGTTTGCCTCCATTTGAGTAGTTAGGTTACCATGTTGTTGTTTGTTGTTTAAAGAATCTAAATAAGTTAATTTTGCAGTGTTTTAATTTTCAGCAAGGATCCCTGATGTTTATTCAGTCTATGTTGTAATCAATGCTGTGTTCACAATGCTTTCTGACACTTCCTTTAGAAATGATGATAAAGAAATGTCCTCCTATACTCGATTAATTTTCCAGCTCAAATTTAAGCTTAAAAATAACTAAAGCTCCTGAGCAAAGATTGTTTTGGGGTTAATCCAAGCTATCGTCATGTAACCCGAGCTCCCAAGTGGTATTACATGCCATCATCTGAAATGCCTAAATGTATAAATGTCACTTTATTTACATGTCCATAATCTAATGCCATTCGTGCATCTTGCCTATATTCTCTAAGAACGTGTAACCACCAATATATCCAGAAAGCTAGTTAAATTCTTCTCCTCTGATGTGATTCATTCTGAAATGCTAACCTCAAGTTGAACTACTGACAATCGTTTTCCTTTTTATCAAGTGCTTAAAACTAAGAACGGATCAACCGTTTGACAGTTAAGGTTTGATTGTGGGAAGATACTTGATTACAATACGCGCAAATAGTTTTGATTAGACATATTAAAAGTTTAAAGAAAAGAATCCCTCAGGGGAACAAAGGACTGCCCTCTGGGAACCACACCCCAACAGACAAAAACAGCGACACGTTGTCCCGCTTTCTTGTCCTCTTCTTGTTCCTGACTCTCCAACTGTGTTTCGGCACGCGCCCAGCGTGCTCCCTCTCCCGGCAACGCCCTAAGAGTTTGGTCCGGCGCAACAAAGCCCTTTGTTCGTTTCAAGCTACACACGTGAAGTGCCGCGACCTCAGCTTTCCATCGTTTCCAGCAACTGTACTTGCGTTTTATTTTCTTTGGTTTTGTTTTGTTAAAAGTTATCAGTCCGTTAAGTTACACTAGCTTTAATTCAAGCCCACCAGCAGTAACAAAGGATGACCAAACTGCTAACCCGAGCCAGGGTTGGCCCCCACTGCAAGTTTCTGCAATAAGCCGACAAAAGATGGACCTCCGGAGCAATTCCCTGGCAGAGAAAGCAACTGGCCGACGGTTTTAAGCTGTCCTAACCGAGAACGCACGGATCTCTGCCAGTATGTGGCCGTTTACACGGACACGCAGTAAGGCAAAAACAAGGCATTCTGTGATCAGTGATGTCCAATAGTTTGATATTCCATTATCTTTAGTCGATATCTATGAAGATTCTCAGTCATCCAGGTCATAGTTATCCAACGAAGGTTAAAATCAAGGGCAACTGGACTTGGTTGAAGATACTGGAAAACGTTTCGTCCCTCATCCAAAGGACTTCTTCAGTTCTGACTGACTGGCAGGGAAACTCAGCTATTTAACCTCAGTGGGGTGACCCTGGCCAACGACCCCACTGAGGTTAAATAGCTGAGTTTTCCAGTATCTTCAACCAAGTCCAGTTGCCCTTGATTTTAACCTTCGTTGGATATTATCTTTAGTCCTTAAACTCCTAGACAAATTTAATCGATAGTTAGTATCGTTAGTATCATCTAATTAGCTGCCGTATGAGTCAAATGCTCCCCAATAGAACCCCTTCTCATTGTTTAGCTATTGTTTATTTCTATGATGTATTTAACTGCATTTTTTCCTGCATCACTTAGTTAGTTAATAAACTCCACTGTAATCAAGAATTGTGTGTGTATTGCCTGTCTCCAAGTCCCTGCCAAGAGAATTTACCCCTTCGATATGAGATTGACTAACTGACTGATTTAAGATAATTGAGCGATTGTTAACTAACTGATCACTAGTGAATAATTGTCTAATTATTAGCCATACTCAGGGAGTCCCGAGACCCTGGGATGGTATATCGGGGGGTGCCCCTCAAGAGATTTATGAATTAATATTTTCTGAATATTAAAATTCATAATTTGGTATTAATTCTTATAAATTTATTGAAACAATGTAGAGATGCTACACCTATATGTCACCAAATATTCAAACACAAGATATTTTTACGATGTATCTTCTAAGAATATTAAAAGATAAAGATATATTTAGGTCCACTAGTATTTGTAGGTTTGAACACTTTGTTAATAAAAACGGGTTCAAATGGAGCCATTAGTTGGTGTGGCTTGTTTTAATATTGATTAGTTTTGATTGGTTCAGACTTTCAGAAGTCATTACCCAGTAAAGACACAATAAATATTTTAAATGAAAAACACATTTAAAACCTGTTGCATAAATGTTTTGGCAACCAAATGCTGAGCAAATGATGTCATTTTTAAACAGTAACATGAAACTGCATCAACTTTTTAGAGTCTATGGCTACGTTCAGACTGCATGCCTTAATGCTCAATCCAGATTTTTTCCCCAGATTTCACATTATTGCTCAAATGTGCCCATATCAGACTCAGGTGTGAACTGTCTGCAGCCTGAAAATGACCCGCATGCACAGAAGAATAACATGACTTCACACGCAGCAGCACGCTGCTGTACAGAAGTAAACAGAGCCACAGAAGTTAGCTCGTACTTGCTAACCCTCCCAACTGGTTTTTATTGTCTCACAGGTCACATTTCTCCCGAATTATGAAAAGTGTTCACAACTTTCTGTTCTTTTCATTACGGTTTCTGGTGCTGTACAATGCAACTGCCACACAACTCTCTCTCTCTCTCTCTCCACTATGTCTGCAAGGGAAAATATCATGCACATAAGGGAGCTCGTGGTCAAGTGGATTTCATTTGTAAGAAAGGAAATTTCACCGCGGCTCCGTCTACAGCAGAACTGTGACAACAGCTGCTCTAGAGTGACGTCAAAGTCGCATTAATTCAGACCTGAGTGTCCAGACTGAGGTCGCATTTATAAAGATCCGATCTGTATCGGATTTGGACCACATATGGCAGTAGTCCAAATCCGAATGGGAAAATATCAGATTCCATGTGACTTGGCCTGTTCACACTGTCATGAAAAGATCAGATCTGAGTCACATATAAGCAAAAAAAAAAATCGGATTTGGGTAACTTTGGCCTGCAGTCTGAATGTAGCCTATGAGGATTTGTGACATGCACATACATTACAACTTACATCTCTTCAATAGTAATATCTGGCTTCCACAATGCTTCAATAGGAACTGATATAGTTTCAAGTCCACAAAAGTCATCTGGATCCCACTTAATATGTTCATTTTGCCAAGCCTACACAGGAAAAAACAAAGCATTGAGGAGATAAGAAATGAAGGAAGAAGGAGAGAAAATTGAATGGAAGGAGTTTAAAGGAAATTATTTGTGTTTCCACTAGGGGCTTGGAAAATAATTGATTTCTAGATGCATCGCGATGCGGACTTGAACAATTCCGAATTGATTTACTAATGTCAATAATCGATCGATATAGAGGTAAATTGATAACTTAATGTTGACGGAATGAAAAAGGCGGAACTCGGAAATGCAGAAGTGCAGCACCGGACTGTCTGTGGTGTGCACACGGTGTGCACACTAGAGAGACGTGTGGTTCTCCCTGTTCGGCACAGACAGGCAGCTGTTGAATGAATGACAGTCACTACTAAACTTTCACATAATCAATAAAATCAATGAGCAACTAACGTTGATGATTTTCACCCACACACTGTGCAGCATGGTAGCACTTAGCTAGCGTCCTCTCCTCATTCTTCAAAGGACAGGTACAAGACAGGTGGCAGTAACAGTGAAAGCTAGCGGAGCAAAGGAATAGTTAGTGCTGGGTTTCAGTCTGGCAGTAAATGTACAGTGTAGGTCACAGTGTGTCTGTTAATTAAAGTATTCTTTTGTTTTCCAATTGCTGGAAAAGTGAAGGCGGTTATTGCTCATCTCCCTTCATTAGACTAGTCTGGAAGCTGAGCAGGACATTTTTTGGCTGCTAGTTCTTATTTGTTGTCATTCATCAACATATCAAGTACACAAATAAACAAAATGCTGTTTCAACCGGTCCTTGGTATATACAAGGTACAGATATATTTAGACGGAGTGAACAAGAATTGTAAAGTGCATAGTTCAACCTGTATCATAATTTATACTAATAACAGCAGCATCAGAAATGAAAACAGCAGTATCAGAGGTCAATAATAATGCTGTAATAATGTAATAATTCTATGTAACGTTAGCTATATTTATGTGAAGTAATATTAAATAGCTGCAAATACTTTGCTTTAAAAGTACCAAGTAGTCACACAGTGACAAAAATAGATCTTTATTGTATTCGTTTTACGATCGCATCGTAGCCCTCATAAACGTAATGAGGTGCCTAGATATTCCCACCCCTAGAGGTGATGCATCAATTCGAATTGAATCGTGAGACCAGCAAGATGCCCAGTTTCAACTAAAGATGCACAATTGAGAATGATCAAAAAGAGCTGTCCATTTCAGAGAGAACTCACCATTAAAATCCAAACGTATGGAACGAAAGTCTGATCAATCTCCTTCTATGAGGAAGAAATAAATACATAATGTGTGAAAATCGTTTCAGCAGCACAATTAACATTATCATAAGATGATCATACACATAGCAAGACTGTGACAAAACATTGTACTATGCCAATTTTAGAATGAAAGTGTCACCAGCCACTACAGCAACATCACTGATGTAAAAGGAGAATAGAATTGGTCCTAGGCTGGAGACCTGTGGTACCCCAGTAGAGACAGCCATAGGTCCAGACAGCAGGCCTTCCGCTTTAACATACTGAATCCTATTACAGGACTCCCTTGTAAAAGAGACTCAATGGGACATTGCCTGTTTAAATAAAGGTTTATATATATCTGAGAAATATTTAGTGAACCAGTCAAATGAGTCAACGGAAAATCCAAGGTTATTCAGCCTGCCGGTGAGAATGTTATATAATAATAATAATAATCCTTATTTGTAGAGCACTTTTCAAAAACAAGTTACAAAGTGCTTTAACAAGTGTAAAGAATAATACAAAAAAAAGATAAGAGCATGAAAATTTAATATAAAATTAGTAAAATACAATAAAATAAAAGGGATAAAATAAAGTCAAATAAGATCGGGAAAAGCTCTCCTATAAAAGTATGTTTTAAGAAGGGACTTAAAAGAGTTCACTGACTCAGCCGACCTGATTTCCTCGGGCAGGCTGTTCCAGAGCCTCGGGGCCCTACAGCCTGATCTACAGAGTCATATGCCTTAGACAGGTCAATGTAAACCACTGCACAATAATGTCTTTGATCAACGGCACCTATTATATTGTTCAGGACCTTGAGCGTATCTGTAGCACACCCATGACAAGCACGGAAGCCAGACTGCATAGCAGACTATGATGTGATCCGAGATGATTGACTAAATAAGATATAACCCAGAGACAGAGAGATGCAAAACAATTATTAACACTAACAGGCATTAAAATTTGTATAATTATCAACCAAACTTTAGCAGCAAGTCTGGATGTAGCAGGAATAGTTTCAACGGGCTAACAAGGCTAACATCAGGTACAGTGCTGACTCTGGTACATGAAGTCCAAAAAACCCCAAGCGCTGTCTTTAGTATTCTTTGGCATACAGGCTACAGTTTGGCATGTACAGGAAATGTCAAGGGCAGCGAGTATCATCATCAGCCGAGTGAAGTCTACAGATTTGTAGTACTAAACAGTCTCAACAACTGTTTTGCCCTGAGGTCAAAACATTTATCAGTCAGTCACCACCCACACTGCTTAAAGGAAGCTGTACTTTGTTACAATACTCGAGTGAGTTTGTAACATTATTTAAGGTTGTAATTATTCCATTTATATATCGCTGGCAGCTAGTTTAGTTTCATACAAAAGCTGAGTAGGTGGGAGAAGATGAGAGCTTTTGTCAGTGTCAGACTTTAGAGTGCTGGTATGTGACAATTTCCTGGAGGAAGTATGTACCAGTGTAGGACTCAAACTTGAAAACATATCAGTTCAAAATAATGAGCCAATACTGCTATCTACAGCAAAGACTAATCTACTGTTCCAGGGCACATGGCCTTCATTTCTACAAAATTTAATTATACTCATTGAATAAGGAGTTAAGCATACCCAAAAAGACTTAACTTTAAACTTACCACATCTAGGATACTGTACAGAAGCATGTGGAGGTGTACGACTGTAGTTGTATTGTAGTGTTTAACAGGCCGGGCCATGAAGTACAGATGATTTTCTTTGGTCAGGTTCAGGTGGTTTAAAACATCCTGAAAACCACAGTTACCCGCAGAGGAATTCCTATATCCTGGAAGAATATACATTCAGAGTTTTATCTTGAAACCTTCCATGGTCTGATTTTTCACTTCAGAGCTTCAGTGATTACTGTATGTGTTCTTAGTCACTTATCATTTAGAAGAAATTACAAACATTAATCTATGTGGGCAGGTATCTTCTGCTTCTGAATGTATTATCAAACCTTACTAAAGACGAGCTCACAAATATCTGCTGTAGTTTCCAGTGATTGTGGTTACAGAAAGGCCATTATGAGATGGGTGTTGACAGGACTACTGAGTCATCAGTTCACTGATAATTTATTAATTGTGAATATTTTTGTAGTCATTAAAATATAGAGTAAGTGGATATTGACTGAATTTGACAAAAAGACGTGTATTGGATTAGAATTGCTAACCCCACCCTTAATCTAAATATGGCTCTCCATATGAAATCCATCGGCCCAGATGCATGTTGTCGTGTAATTCAAGGACAGAAATGCAATTTTCTACTCAATTCAACCCAGGGCTGAACTGGAAAATGGGCTGGGACACCCTTTACATAAATAATACACCATAAATAAGTGTAAAAAAACCCATCAGAATGCAGGAAATTAAGTGTTTAATTCTCAAAATTTTCATATAATTCAGAATTGAAAAGTTTCCAAGTGTCTCGTCAAACCACTACTGTTTACTGTTTACACCAGTAATATATCTTTCTTTCTATCTAAACAGAATGGTGTCTTCAGCTTCAAGACTTCCATAATTAAGGCTACAGGAATAAATATTGATACATATAATTACTGGGTACTTTTGGAGTATTTGTTTCCTCTACATACTTTCCTCAGAGCTCTGATTGAAGTTCCGTTGATCATCATGTAGCGCTGTTGGCTCTGTGTAATTGGAGGTACTTCCACCTGATAGAAAAGGATACAGGTTTTAATGTTCAGTATGATTTCCTTGCACACACATCTCCTGCTTTCATACACAGAATGATCAAATGTTGACAAAATGTTGTAGTTATTTAAAACATAAAATCAACTCAAGAAGGGTATTGAGGTGTTATAATGTGCTCCGGGTGGTCTTACTAGTATGTATGTATGACCAATCGCATGTGATGACAGGATATCAAACCATCAGGTTAAAAGCTGCCAGAGGACTGATGGTCTACAGTTCTGAGTGACTGCAGTTGCCCTTCTCTTAGAAGACAATATTGAAATTTTTTTGAATTCCTAAAGGTCATTTTGAAACAACTATAGGTTATCTGTGGAAGGGTTTAGCTTAGTTTTCACTAGTTATCCATTTCCAGAATGGTTAACTCTACCTTAAAACAATGGAGGTGAATAGGCATTTGTGGAGCTCATAGCAGTGAATATGGCAATTTAAAAAATTCAGCAGCAAAGTTTCTAGGAACAGTGTCCAAGTTACTCTGAATTTTCCACATACCACTCTTTGAACAGTTTATAGAAAGAAATATTGACGGTATTTTTCATGCTGTTAGTATCACAAACAAAACTCCATTCACCTCCATTGTTTTGAGGTGGCAACAGACATTTCACACGGACAATAACAAAATTATTGTGGTGTATAACAGTTTAAAATAGCACTGTAGCAGCAGGACAGAGGGTCAGTGACCTCTTAAGGGGAGAGAAGTGATTGGTGGTTATGTAGGGACTGAACCCTTCTATAGAATTTGTCCTCTAACCCCTTGTTTTGTTACCTCAGAATAGTACTGTACCCTTCTATGGGTTGGAGCTTTATTTTGCAGACTCAAACCCTTCTATGGTACCTAACAGATACCTAAACATATCCTATATAAGCTACACTCACCTAAAGGATTATTAGGAACACCATACTAATACTGTGTTTGACCCCCTTTCGCCTTCAGAACTGTCTTAATTCTACGTGGCATCGATTCAACAAGGTGCTGAAAGCATTCTTTAGAAATGTTGGCCCATATTGATAGGGTAGCATCTTGCAGTTGATGGAGATTTGTGGGATGCACATCCAGGGCACGAAGCTCCCGTTCCACCGCATCCCAAAGATGCTCTATTGGGTTGAGATCTGGTGACTGTGGGGACCATTTTAGTACAGTGAACTCATTGTCATGTTCAAGAAACCAATTTGAAATGATTCGAGCTTTGTGACATGGTGCATTATCCTGCTGGAAGTAGCCATCAGAGGATGGGTACATGGTGGCCATAAGGGATGGACATGGTCAGAAACAATGCTCAGGTAGGCCGTGGCATTTAAACGATGCCCAATTGGCACTAAGGGGCCTAAAGTGTGCCAAGAAAACATCCCCCACACCATTACACCACCACCACCAGCCTGCACAGTGGTAACAAGGCATGATGGATCCATGTTCTCATTCTGTTTACGCCAAATTCAGACTCTACCATCTGAATGTCTCAATAGAAATCGAGACTCATCAGACCAGGCAACATTTTTCTAGTCTTCAACTGTCCAATTTTGGTGAGCTCTTGCAAATTGTAGCCTCTTTTTCCTATTTGTAGTGGAGATGAGTGGTACCCGGTGGGGTCTTCTGCTGTTGTAGCCCATCCGCCTTGTGCGTGTTGTGGCTTCACAAATGCTTTGCTGCATACCTTGGTTGTAACGAGTGGTTATTTCAGTCAAAGTTGCTCTTCTATCAGCTTGAATCAGTCGGCCCATTCTCCTCTGACCTCTAGCATCAACAAGGCATTTTCGCCCACAGGACTGCCGCATACTGGATGTTTTTCCCTTTTCACACCATTCTTTGTAAACCCTAGAAATGGTTGTGCGTGAAAATCCCAGTAACTGAGCAGATTGTGAAATACTCAGACCGGCCTGTCTGGCACCAACAACCATGCCACGCTCAAAATTGCTTAAATCACCTTTCTTTCCCATTCTGACATTCAGTTTGGAGTTCAGGAGATTGTCTTGACCAGGACCACACCCCTAAATGCATTGAAGCAACTGCCATGTGATTGGTTGATTAGATAATTGCATTAATGAGAAATTGAACAGGTGTTCCTAATAATCCTTTAGGTGAGTGTATGTTTGATGTACAGAAAGACAGAGTGGCCATCGGGCTGGGTCACTCTCCAAGCTGCTGCAGAGCTTGTAATTGATGCTGAACTCCTTGATGTAATAAACTTTTATGATCAAGAACAGTGTCAAGCGGATTTCTTCTCAACACATCATCGCAGCATTATTGTTTGGACACCACATTATCTCTTGGCTGGATACCAGTTAAGTTTACAAACACATTGAATGAATATAGAATTAAACTTTGACCAACTGAAGGTGATTTGTGTTGATTAATAAGCCGAGCAGCTTACAAGAATAGTCAACCTTTACTGTATAAATATAAAATAAATTAACAAGCAGTGGGAATAATCAGGAAATAATAGGTTTAACCAAACTGCAGAACATTTCTCAAAGTACACCTGCATGCATCATACAGAATTATCCCAACTTACCTGTGAGGAGGAGCAGAAAGAGGAAAACTGCGAATATCATGACTGTCAGAGTTCTGCACAGTTAGTGAGCATCCCTGTCCTCTCTGTGTTGTCTGGAAATGTTTGCTGCAGCAGTAATATCACTGCCGTGTACAGGAAGAGGGCTGGGCAAATGTAATAACTAACTGGACTGTTTTTTTTTGTTGTTTTTTTTTTTGTCTAATAATAGAAACACAACTAATGCGACAAAGCTGCCAGTAACTGCCAACACCCTCGACACTTATCCGCCTATAGGCAGATCAACTTTGCTATCAAACCAAAAGCAATTTACTTCAATTGTTTAGTTTCCCAAGTAAAGTAGTTCAATAGAAAAACTCTGAAAGGAGTTTTATGTCAAACATACATAAAAACAAACAAAATACAATTTATATTTACAATAAATATACAATTAATCTCAGGTTTGATCAGTTACTACTTCAAGCTTTTCCTTACCTTCCAGGGCAAACTTAATTTCTTGCCCTCTTTTGCCACCGAACCATGTTCCTCACAATCATCACCTTTTGATGCAGGTGCTAAAGTATTTTTTCTCATGTACCAACAGTCTCTCCTATAATTTAACATTAAAACAGGTTTAATGTTTGGTCATCCGTTTAAATTATTCCAAATTAATCAACCTAACTAAATCATGTTTTGGTCCATTTTGGTTGTCAGTGATACCTCTAAATACTGCAACACCTATAAGCCTCAGCCACCGTTGCTATGGAGATTATGCCAGTGAACAGCTTTTTAGGAAATAAGACTAATTGGATCCTGTTTAGTTTACCTGGTAGAGCATGTTCCTCCCGTACAAGCGTCAGTCCATATGGCAGGGTTAGAGTCCCGCCTCTGCCCTTTACTGCATGTCATCCCCCCTCTCTCTCCCCCTTATTTTTATCTCTCTTCAGCTAACCTGTCCAAAATAAAGACTAAAATATGTCTTTGGAAAAGCGATGCTTTAAATGCTAAATTTGGGATACTAAAATGCACACAATGACAATGCTAATATTCTGATGTGTAACAGGTATAATGTTTACCATTTTCATCATTTTAGTTTAGCATGTTAGCATGCTAACATTTGCCTTTTAGCACTTAAGACAAAGTAGCCTATACATCATGTGTTGTGATCTGACTCAAAAGGCCATAACAAAAGGGAGACACACCATGATAAACATTTTACAAAATTTTTATTAACTCAATAAGCCAAATTAAGCATTGTGCAAATTAAAGTTATTATGTCTGTATTATTGTTTAAGTAAGCACATCATCATGAATAGTAGTTTCAGTCGGGTCCACACAGGATCAGTAGTTGCATGGGTGTGTGTTAGGGTGTTGCAATGTGCAAGAAACAAGAAGAAGGCAAGGTCTACCACCAGCGCAGCAGCAGCTTCCCTAAGAATGAGCATAAAGATTTAAAGACAAATACTCCACAGGGCAATTCATAGTTTTGACGTGACGTCACATTCCAATGAAAACGCTCCGATAGAGGGCAAAAAATACGTTAATTTTCCACTGCCTGCCAACCAATATGCAAGTGATATACGGTTACTTTGAGTAAAACAGAGTGCCACAGGAAGTCATTCCTGCCATTCCGGCCATCAAACTCTAACTCCTCCCTCAAAGTGTCTGACACACGGACCCTTAGGACCCATCCACACTATTGCGTTTTTGTTTCAAAACGGAGAACTTTTACTACATTTTCACATCCCGTCCAGACTAAATCAGCAAAAACGAAGACCTAAAGCGGAGACCCTAAATGGTTTGAAAATGCTGCCGACCCCGTTTTTCATTTTCAAACACAGGGTAGCGTTATTGAAGACGGGCAAAAATGGAGGACTTTGGAAACGATGACACAGACGCTCACGTTTGGCTCTCTGATTGGGTCTCATGCAGAGCAGAAACACGATGCTACTGACAGAGTTTTTGACTTGGTATTTTTATTGAAATATTTTGTACCTTGTAAATAACACTTTGGCTAGTCCCATGTTGTGGTGGCAGCCCGGCTGACGGTGATTGATAGCCCTCAGCCTGTTCCCCGGCCTGCTAGCTCCGCTGGCCCCCAGCCTGTTCCCCAACCTCCGGAGAGGTTACGCCTTCCCCAACGGCCTCCTGGGGTCTCCAGTCCTCCCCATCGACCCTCTGCTCGGCCCCCTGTGGACCTTAGCTCAGGCTCTCGACCTCTCTCTGGGAAGCCTTCCTCAGGACCCATGTTCCCTCTCTGCCCTGCCTCCGGGCCATCCTCCTGAGCTCCCACACTCCCTCTCTGCCCTGCCTGTGGGACGTCCGCCCAAGGCTCCTTGCCCCATCTTGGTCCCGCTTTCAGGCCGCTCGCCTGAACTCTCCTGCTCCCTCTTGGTGCTGCCTTCAGGCTGCACGCCTGAATTCCCTGGTTCCCCTGCTCCTCCTTCGGGCTACCCGCCTGATCTACCTGGCCCCCGGGTCCACCCTCGGGCCACCCGCCTGAACTCCCTGGCCCCTCTGCTTTGCCTCGGGACGCCCGCCTGAACTCCCGGGTCCCACTGCTCTGCCCTCAGGCACCCTGTCTGGCCCTATTCCCTCAGTTCTGCCCTGCCCGTTCGTCTGACCCTTCCCAGCCCTGACCCCCTCTCTGAAGATTCTAGTGTCTCATTTAGTTTTGGACCTGGACCCCCGCCAGCCAGACCCCAGTGCGATTTCCTCCTCAACGGACACCTCCCGGCGGACCTCCCAGTTGGCTGGGCAGGGCTTGGTAGAAGTCCGTTAGGGGGAAGAAATCGCAGGGTCCCTGTTGTGGTGGCAACCCGGCTGACGGTGAGTGTCCTGGTTATTTCTCCTTTGTCTGTTCTGTTCTGTTTTCCCTGTACTCTGCCTGCCTTCCTGTGTGTGCTCTCTTTCTCTCTCCCTCTGCTCCTGGCCCAGCCACCCCGCACCTGCATCTCGTCCACCACCTCCTCTGCCTGCCACACCTGCCAGCAATCAGCCTCATCTCCCACAGTACTTCTACCCCGGTTCTCCACTCCATCACTGCTTGATCGTCGTTGCTCCTTACCCGGTGTCACTGATCTCTCAAGCGCTCGCGTAACCTGCACGACCTGTCTCACTGTTCTTGGTTTTTCCGGAGTCACTAACCCTGTTTGTTTGTCTGTCTGTCTCTCCCCAGTTCACTCACCCTCGTCCGCTGTCAAGTTGGCTGGGCTCGCTCACCTGCCCTCCCGCCACGGCGTCCTCCCGGCTCTCCCTCGTGCCTCCCCAGTCAGCCTGCCACCACACCTCCACCAACCCCCTGACCAGTTCTCCCGTGCCTCCTCTCTCCCTCGGCCCCCAGTGTCCCTCGGTTCTGGTCTCAGTCTCCTCGGTTTCCCGTGCCTGCGTTTCCCCGGCGTCCACCTCTCCCTCAACTCCAGTCCCTCAACCCCTTCTTTCCCCAAATAAAACCTGTTAACCTTGAGTTTTGCATTTGGGTCCACTCTGTCCACATCACCAGTCCCAGCTGTTATTGGTCCATGCAAAAGAAATTTGGTCTGATTCTTAGTCTACATCTTTATATCTTTCGCCAAATCTTCTGTAACTGCGGAAGACCATCTGCTTCATGTTTACACTGGCATGCGCATGCCCTGTATGTGAACCCACTAGATGGGCGTTTTCAGTTGTTTTAATGTAGTCGGAGATCAACTCTGATATGCAGCTAAAACGCTGCACTGAAACCTGAAAA